AAAAAAAAAAAAAAAAAAAAAAAACACTTCTCAAAATAAACTTATTTTAGAAGTTTGGCCAAACACGCTAGTATAAGTATACTAAGTTTTACTAATTGTTTAACTCTTAAACTGCATTTCTGCTGTGTTATTGATGCAATCAAGCAATATTGACCTTTTAGCTTTGGTGTTATTTTTAATGTATCAGCAACAAAAATACTTCCTGCTGTAGCCCCCCCTGTAGTAATGGAGGACAAGCTTAGTCAATTGCCAGATGACATTCTTGTATCATTCTTTCTAAGTTGACATTGAAAGAAGCAGTGCTCACAAGTTTTCTTTCAAGTCGATGGCGCTATATTTGGACACGTGTCACACGTCTCAACTTTAACCTTGTGACAGAGTTTTGCAGAAAGGAAACGTTGAGGCATATCAATTGGGCTAATCATGTCTTGGGTTTGCACAAGTCTTCTCCTTTAGAAGAATTCACTGTCTCTTCTCTTTTTCACAGTAGTTTTCAATATGAAGTTGATAAGTTGCTGAAATTTGCATTATCAACAAAAATCCAAAGCCTTAAGATAGAATTGATACCTCTAGAATGGCCAGATTTCACACACATTCAACCTTGTTTGGATTTGAAGAGGTTCCGGGAGTACTTATCGTCTTCGCCAATCTTTGGATTTAAGAATCTCAAAGTGCTGACTTTAGGTGGCATTGATGTGGACAATCAAGTGGTCAATATTTTCCTCTCGAGCTGCCCCCTTCTTGAACAGTTTATCTATAAGAAAATCTCAGGTATTAAAACATCTGGAAATCGGTCCTTCCCTCAAGTTGAGGCATTTGGAAATATATGAATGCAACATAGATTCTCTGGAGATCTGTAATGCCAATATTGCCTCTTTCTGTTTCTATGGAATGGAGAAAACAAACTTGCTTCTAGAGAATGTTACTTCGGTTGTTAATCTTCAGATTGAGATTTTCCGTCCATCGTTGCCTAGACTCGTTGAATTGATTACAATGAAATTCACTCAACTGGTGAAGCTTTCACTTGAAGTAGATACTTGCCAATATAAGGTAAGCATTATTCCCCTCTCACGGGTTCGAGCGGTGAAAACAGCCTCTTGCAGAAATGTAGAGTAAGGTTGCGTATAATAGACCCTTGCGGTCCGGCTCTTCCCCGGATCTCGCGCATAGCGGGAGCTTAGTGCACCAGACTGTCCTTTATAAAGAACAACAAAAAGTTCTGGTGTCTTTTTTTCACACTTCTTTCTGCTGATTTTATCTTTTTCAGGGTCTTGATTTTTATCATTCTTTTCCGAAATTCAACAATCTCAAATGGCTTAATACTGACTGTTAACCGCGCTATTATATTTATGGCAGACTACTTAAAGTTACTCCACTTCTGCAGGCCTCTCCATACCTGCAAATGTTCGAGATCAAGGTATATAGAGGTGTTTATTCTTTTTTTATATGTCACTCTTTTTTTGCTTATCCATCTCAAAGGCTGGACAATTTTCATGCAAAAGAAAAACCATCATCTTTTCCTTTTTGTAGCCTTATCACATCTATCATTTCTTGCTTGCTTTTGTACTTCTCAGTAGAGACTAATGTTGGATGTTTCCCTCAAATATCAATTTTTGATTCACATTTTAAATCAACTACTCCACTATTTCAGAGTATAATTGTATTATTTTTTTGCTTTTTCAGATTACGTGGAGTAATACACAGATCTATATTCCTTCTGCACCTATTATTCCTTATGGACCTATTCGAAAGCTAACCTGGCAAAATCCATATCCGCATCTCAAAGTGGTCAGATATGAAGGTTATCTCGGGGGTTCAGCTGATAATGAATTTATAACTTACCTTGTTGAAAAATCTTTAGCGCTTGAGAAATTCATCGTTACTCCTTGCGATCATTCATCATATTCAAACAAGAGTTCCAAAGTTGAGCGAAGATCAAGAAATCGGGCTTGGCGGCAGCTACAAGGGAAAGTTCCCAAAGGAGTCGAGCTGGTCATACTTTAAATCACCCTCTCGGATGATTCCCCCCCTCCTCCTCTTGGATTAGGCTTCGAAAGTCATTATTTATTCATTGTTTGGTTGATAATGCAGCTATCTATCTACCAAGTATATTCATATTCATCTTAGTCATGAACTCATTATTGTGATAATGTTACAAATTGCTATTTTAACATGGGTCTATCTACCAAGTATATTCATATTCATCTTAGTCATGAACTCATTATTGTGATAATGTTACAAATTGCTATTTTAACATGGGTCTATCTACCAAGTATATTCATATTCATCTTAGTCATGAACTCATTATTGTGATAATGTTACAAATTGCTATTTTAACATGGGCGTTATTCTCTTTTCCTTTCTTTTCTGCAAAAGAAAGAAATGCCGATACTCTTTCTTTCCTTCCATTAATTGATGCTTTTCTTTCTGTTAACACACCGCAATTTCCCCCTTTTTGCGCACCCTCATCCATGACATATGATGCACATACTAAATAACAAACACCAAACTAAAAGCGTATCCAAGATTTGAACTTTATAGGTTCTGAATTCTACAACAATGATTTCAAGTGCTAATAGTTGGGTTCTAAATTTAAAATTTGTATATATTTAGTGAATTTCAAATCACAAATACAGGGTTTAGGACAAACCTACTGGGTTCGACCGAACCCATAAGTTGCCTTCAAGCTCCGCCCCTGAATATAATACTCCCTCCGTCTAAAATTACGGATGAACTCCAGAGGCTGCTGGATGGCATCACTTAGTAGCTTCTTTTGTTGCTGGTCTTTAACAAAATATGGGCTAAGCAGCTTCAAGTAGGGCTATGTCATACTTCCAGCAGAACATGAACACCTTGGATTCCGACCAGTAAGCATCTCTGCATTGTCAAATTTTGCATGGGGTTTTCAACAATTCCTGGAAGGTAACATCCAACTTGGCCCCAACATATGCAGGGATTTGTAATTACGCAATGGTATAAGATACATGCAGTATTCTTTTAGCAAACAACAATCTCTGCCTATCTTCAGCTGACTTACATGTAATAACCACATATACTAATCTCTTCTCACGCTCCCCAGAAGAATTTGTCAAAGTAGTAACACAATACAGAATCTTCAAGACACCGGCTTCTCATCCTAATGCAGATATTAGCATGAATTACTTCTGATCTTAGCCATTTATATCTGAAAAAATGAGCCAATGGGCTTACATGTTGGCGCGATATCACGTGATAACCGGAATATTATTATATTAACGCTAGTAATCCAGAAAATCAAGCTCAAATACTCTTGATTTAAGAACTACATTCATTGCTTGAAGTGTATTGCATATGACATCAATCTGACAGTGTACGCTATCAGCAACAAGAAATTCATGAACAGAACCATCTATTTCAATAAAAGAACATCCAGGTTGCTTCTGGATTCCCTCAGCACCCATATTCCTCCTTACCATTCTCACATCCTTCCACCTAGATGCAGAGGCATAAGCATTAGACAGCAGCACATGTGCCCCACATTTCTCTGGCTCCAATTCACTAATCTTTTTGGCAGCAACTTCCGCCAACTCTACATTTCCGTGTCTACTACCCGCGAAAAGCAAGGATCGCCAAATGATAGCATCTGGCTGAGTGGGCATATAACGGATGAACTCCATAGCCTCAACAACAAGATTTGCACGGCCCAAAAGATCAACCAGGCAGCCATAGTGCTCAACCCCGGGGGACAATTTGTATTGCCCGGTCATCTTCTCAAAGTAGTAAAACCCGTCACCAACACACCCACCATGACTACAGGCAGATAAGATCCCAAGAAATGTTACGCCATTTGGCCTTACTCCACTTGATCCTTCCATTAGTGAAAATAATTGCAAAGCCTCATCGGATCTTGCATTCATAGCTAGCCCAGAAATCATCATACTCCACGAATAAACATCCTTATTACTTAACAAATAAAAAACTTCAAGAGCCTTATCAACTAATCCACATTTAGAGTACATATCAATCAAAGAATTCTTCACTACAAGGTTCATTTCAATACCACTCTTTTCACAATAATTATGCACCCACCTTCCCAAAACTAGTGCACCCAAATGCCCACATGCAGAAGCAACACAAGCAATTGTGGCAGGTTCGGCCTTAACCCCAGCCATCTGCATCTCCCTAAATAGCTCTATTGCTTCCTTAAACATGTCCGATTGCAAATAACCTGCAATCATAGAAGTCCAACAGACTGCATTTTTATCTAACAATCTATCAAAAACCTTTCTAGCATCCTCTAACCGCCCACATTTTGTGTACATGTCAACTAAAGAAGAACCCAGAAAGACATCAATCACAAGCCCATAAACAACAATCAACCCATGAATCTTCTTCCCCAAATCAAGCAACCCAGTTCTTGCACACGCTGTAAGAGCACTCACGATACTTACATCATTCAACCTCACACCACTTCTGAGCAACAATTTTCCAAACATTTTCACTGCTTGATGACAAAACCCACATTGTAAATACCCAGAAATCATACTATTCCAAGTGACAACATCTCGAACTGAGTCAGGCATATATTCAAATACCTTCTGTGCAAACTCAATAACCCCGCACTGGAAATACATATAAACCAATGCATTTTGCACAAATACATCAAATCCAAACCCCATTTTCAAACTCACACAATGAACTTCAACACCCTTGTGAAAACTATTTAATCTACCGCAAGCTTTCAGTACAAAAGGGAAAGTGAAATTATCAAGAATCATACTTTTCCGCATCATTTGATTGTAAAGACTAATGGCTTGTTCAGGGAATGTACTGTGGGAGTATGCACGGAGGAGGAAATTACAAGAATGGACATTTTGGTTAGGGATTTGGGAGAAAAGGGTGTGTGAAAAGGTGAGGGTAAAATCGGGATTTGAAAGACAATGGTTGAGGAGTTGGCTGGAAATGTAAGGGTTTGTGAAGTAGCCTGAAGTGAGGGCATGACAGAGGATTTGGGTGAAATGGTTGAAGAGTTTATGGGTTTGTAAAAGAGATAAAGAGAATGTGTGATAAGTTGTTTGAGATGTAAGAAGAATAGAGATTAGGATTTTGGGTATTGGAGGTTTGAGTTTGGAGGGAATACTCAGCAGCATTTGGTTGCATAACTAACATTTGACAGCGGTGTGCAACAAGAGAGTTTGCAGGGGCTACATTAAAAGCAAAGTTTGGCACGACTAGAATATAGGATTTTGTTTTAGCATTAAAAAATTTTAAACAATGTGAAGTAGGATATTAATATAACTTAATGAATATAGAGAGAGGAAATAAATAACATTTTTACATAAATGTATGAAACAAAAAAAAATGTCTAAATTATAGTATATTTTTATACTTCTTTGTCTTTTATAGCCCGTTCGGTCAAGCTTCTAAAATCAGCTTATTTTGAAAACCGTTTTTTCTCAAAAGTATTTTTTTCGGGAGAATCAATTTGTGTTTGACTAATTAATTTGAAAACCAACATTTAGTGTTTGGCCAAGCTTTTAAAAATATTTTTAAGTGTATTTTTCTCAAAAGTATTTTTCAAGAAAAACTATTTTTTCTGTTTCTCAAAAAATGCATTCGGTTATACTTAGAAGCACTTTTTTTCTTCTAAAAGTTTCTTGTTAAACTTATTCACTTGCAATAATGGTTGTCATATACACAGTTCTCTTGAAGCTCATCTTTGTTGGGAAGAAGCAGCAGCCTGCAAGTATTGAACCGAGTCTTTGGCCCTTTTACTCATAAAAAAGAAAGAAAGAACCTCAAAATGGATGTGAATGTTCAATCTGTTAACATTGTGTTGCTGTATGGAATGCAAGCTAGAGCTACAGGAGAGTCTAAGAAAACTAAAACTACTGAAACTTTTAACATCAAACAGTCAACGAACTACTGAGGAGAAGGAAGAGCAGAATGTGGATGTTGCTGCTGCTACTCGTAGGAGGCTGCTGCTACTCGTAGGAGGACTAGGCATATTTACCCTTAAAATCGGATAACAATTAAATTTGTAAGTGGTTTTAATGATATGTTATTTCACTCGGCACAAACTGAGAAATACAAGAATTGAAGTTAAAAATTAACTGTAAAATGAGACAAACCAATGTAACGCGCAACTTTGGCCCTCGAGCTAGGTCGCCTCGAACCAACTAAGTATATTATTGAAAAGTAAGAACTGAATAACTGAATAAGAGAGCTTAAGAGAGAAAACATAATATATTATTTTGTTATGAGTGTCTCTTTACAAAATGATTGGAACCCCCTTTATATAGTAGAAGAGTTCTACATATGGTACAATTCTAAATACATAAGGAAATTTTCTGATTGGCTAATCAACAGGTCTTGACTTGATACATGCCGAGATCTCCGCCACAATCCTCGCCCGATTACGGATTCCTCGGCTTTCTGTTATTCGACCTAGCAGGCTTCCTTCGATCTCGCTAGATCCCTGTCCTTATCGGTCTCGACCTTATTTGGTCTCGATCTCGATCAATCCCTGAATCACGATCTAGGCAATATTTATTCATGTAACGATCCAATATAACTTGGGATTGAACCTCGGTCTACCACCCCCGTCTCGATTAACTATACAAAATCGGGCAACTATACAAAATCGGGCAAGTCCGATTTTGACAGTATACAGATAGTCCCCTCATTTTTTGGAGAGTAATGACAAGAAACGATTTGAGCCTTCGATCATGATGTAATCGTCGTGACATAAGCAGTAGAAGTGACAGAAACGTCTCGTCGGTACAGTTCCCTAGGTATTTAATGCGCGTCAGTCGACGGTCGGCCACCACCAGTTTTGAACCGTCGTTGTGAAAACGATATATAGCCCATTTCTTCATCATTCCAAAATTTTATTTTCGAAACTTTTCCATTCCTATCTTCATAGTTTTTCGCCTTCTCCAAAGCTCCATATTTCCAAGTTTTCAAATTTCGTTAATGTTCTTCTTAAAACACCAAATACTTCAATCTCTTTTCTCTTTCGTTCACAAAAACTAAATGGCAAAAACATCTAAAACTGTTTCGCAAAAAGAGGTTGTTTCCTCATCTCGGTCGGCCGGCGAGAAGCCAGTGGTGGAGCTACGCCTTGAGGAACTTATTCCTGGGGGGTGTGTTATTGATTTCGATTTTAAGGTCGAGAAAACCTCATCGGTTGCTGGTCGATGCGAACCGGTATCGAGATATATATGCTCGATACCCAAAAGACTTCTTGATCTGGTGAAGAAAGATTGCAATTGGGAAAACAAAGAGGTTGTGATACCATCACCGGAGGAAGCGATCACTACCCACGTGGAAGGGTACCTGAGTGTTTACACTTATCCTTTCACGCTGGGTCCCCCTCGATCCGGTTATCGTCGATTTTTGCAAGAAATACCAGGTGACCCTCGACCAAATTAACCCTTCTTTTCTAGAGGATCGTGATACTGCTCTGTTTCTTTGTGTGCAAAATCGACGGGCTTCCCTTCACCCTCGACCACCTTGTAAGATTATATAGCCCTCGACTCTACCGAGTTGGGATGATAAAGCTTCAACGCCGGGCCACCAAGGCATTCACCTCGAGTATAGATGAAGACAAAGATCGGGGCTGGATGGGCTGGTTTGTTCGGGTGAAGACCTCAGACCTAATCTCGGCTGAGAGTATGACATTTCTTGAGAAATAGAATATGAAATGTAAGTATGATCCCATTTTTAGTTTTTGTTGTTTTTACTTCTTCATCTTTTCTTATCAGTGTTTTTCTCGATGCAGTCGTTGCTTGGATGCCAGGAGCGGTTCCTCACCTCGAGAACTGGGTCAGGAGCCTGGTTTCAATGTTAACATACGCCGAGCGTGCGTGGCGCGATTTATCAAAGGGACAGTAGGAGGCTCGTACTCATGGTAAGCCTTCTTCTTGGCTTGCCGATTTGCCTATCGTTCAAGCATCTTTTCAAACATGAGTTTACTTACTTTCTCCTTTTGTAGGTCTCGGAAAGGATACAGCTATGAGACCCCCGTCCGGTAATGAAGAAGCCTTACTGCCTATCTCGAAACCGGTGAAGGTGATTAAAATAAAAATGGCCTTGGACTTCAAGGGTCAAAACCCCAAGAAAAGAACGGCCCGTAAACCCAAGGGGAACACAATCCCACTGACTACGGAGTCGGTCCAAATTCTAATGGATGAAGAAGAAGAAGAAGAAGAAGAAGAAGAAGAAGAAGAAGAAGAAGAAGAAGAAGAAGAAGAAGGTGATTCTGGGCTGGTGGCCCGTGCACGAGCTAGCACCGATACTCAGAAGACTTCGAAAACGGTGAAAGTCAATACTGCTCCGTCTAGGTTCGACGAGGTCGAAGAGGAGACTCCGACGTAAGTTCCCAAACCGAGGGGAACCGAAGATACTTTACCTCGGGGTGAAAAGACCATTGAAGAGGCGGCAGATGCCGATGCAGAAACCAGGCTTGAAGCTCGTCGAGAGGGAGGCGATTCCCCAAAAACCTACTTGGGGTAATAGAGATAGGGGATTTCCCCTCGTTTCCTTCATTTTCCCAGTCGATGATACGTGACGCTCAAGCCATGGAGATTTGTCACGGAGAGGGGGCCCACAAGGAGGAAGATCATTTCCGTGGTTATTTTATCGGGGTAGAAGATATCACCGGTCTGAGTGACTTAGAGGCTCCGAAGAAGAGCTCAGGCAAGGCGGGAGTTTCTTGTCTTTTCAACGAAGCTCAACAGGCCCTGAATCGGGTAAGTTCATTTTCTCTTTGTTAATTTTCATACTTGTATAATTCCTTCTTTCTATTTTTGTTGGCCTATGTGCTTCATCAGGAGGTATTTCTCCGATCCCGAGGGGAGGTGAGCTGGTACAAAGCCGAAATCCGAGGGCTTACTGAGGAGATGGATGCCTTCAAGCTTCTCAGTGAGCAGAGAGAAGGAGAAGCAAAATGATTTCGGGCTGAGCTAGAAGTAGCTCGGAGAGAACAAGCCAATTTGTCCGAGCAGGTAAAGATAATCTTTGAAGTTAATGACACTCACTCGGGCGTGATGGCTAACAGTTCGGTCCCACAGGTCTAGCAAAAGCTCGATGTGATCAGGCAGCTTCGTGTTGAAGTGGACGCCGTGAAAGCGGAGGCCGAGGAGTGGAAAGAGAACATGGATCGCCTTGCCTCAGAAAAGGAGGATGCCCGTACTCAACTGGCCTCGGATGAGACCCAACTCCGAAGCTTGAAAGAGAAGGCCTTGGTGCAAGCCAAGAAAATCGAGGAGTTCCAGTCTCGGTTGGGCTCAGCAACTTCTGATCGAGAGAGACTGGCTATAGAACTTCCAGCGGACAAATCAGAGGTCGAAATAGCCACGGCTAATGTTGATGCAATGGTGGTCGTCTACCGGTCCGATGCTAAAGCTGCTCAGATTCGAGCAAAGGAGGTTGCCGAGCATGCTAAATGCCAGTCTCGGAGGGAGACTCTCGAGGAGATCAATGCTCGTGGCTTCGATCTTACAGCCGAGATCGAGAATGCTAAGGAGCTTGAAGCCGAAGCCAGAATGTTGGCCTTTCCTGATGATGATGATACCGGGAGTATAAGCGAATCTAAAAGCGAAAGAGGCCTCGAATGCAGAGATGCTGCTCCCGGAGAAGACTAAGTCCTTTAGTATTTTTTGCATTTCTTTTAAGA